GTATTGCCTTCAATCTGTTCGAATATACCCATGGTTTAGTATGGCAGGCATTTTCTACAGGGGTTCTGGCTAGTCACATGGCAATACTGTTCTCAAATAAATGCCAGTATTCTTTGGAGAATGTCCTTTTGACTTTTTTTTTTATTAAGTTGACATGGGACATGTACCATTGTGGTGTGAGGTGTTGATGGGGCAGGCTATGTATGCATATGGAAATCTCTGCATCTTCCACTCAAAATTGAATGAGTCTAAAACTGCTCTAAAAATAATCTATTAAAACTTTCTAGCTGGGAGTGGTGGTTCACCCCTGTAGTCCCAGATACTTGTAGATCCTCTAGGAGGATCACTGGAGCCCACAGCATTGGAGGCCACCTTGGGCAACATAAGACCCTGTCTCAAAAAAAGTTCTGTATCTTGATATGGTAGTGGTTACCAGGTATATTTGCTGAAACTTTGCCTCTAAGGAGTACATTTTATGGTTTGTAAATTATACCTTAATCAAGTTGATTCTGATGGAAATGAAAGACCAGGTTATATAGCTGTCTGCAGAACAGAGTAAGGAATACGAAAGGAGGCTGCAGCAGAAGGAGATGGCAGTAGTCAAGAGTAAAGGTCACAGGTCACATGGACTTGGCCGTGGAAATGGACAGTGTACACTTGGTGAGGGCAAGAGAGAGAAACGTCAAAGACAACTCCCAGGTACCTGACCTGGACAGAAGGGTGGAGAACGTGGGTAAGGCGTCTTCTCTGAGCCAAAGGCCCAAGGGGTGAATCGGACGTGACTGGAAAAGTAATGCTTTGATTTGGGAACAGATGACTACAAGGGCCTGTGAGCCATCTCAGAGGAGGAGCTGGTTCCAGCATTCTGAACATGAGTACGCCTTTGACCTTGGGGGCAGCTGAGGCAAGGGATTCATTCCCAGTTATGTCAGCAGACATGGCTCCACAGTGGACTACAGACCCCCACTGGCTCGGCCAGCACCGTTTGGCCTTTTGGCCTCCTTCCTCGAGTCTTTTGTCATCTGGGATGCATGAGCAGGCAGCTGACCTTTTGGAGGCATTTGGCAAATTCCAACAGTATCCTCATCCAAGCCCGCTATCCACTGGGCAAGAGCTGAAGCCCAAGCTTCACTTGAAATGGAGGAAAGGACAGTGAAATTCTCACACTGACAAGGCCAGAAAAGAGAAGGCCAGGGCTCAAACACCTCGCTAACAAATAAAAGGCACATGTGGAGCCTGCAGCAGACTTCACTTCCACAAATAACACCAACGCCTTGGGGAGCAGCAGAGCCATCTGACTGGGCAGCAGCTGTGCTAAAGGTGCTATTTAAAGACTCGGTTTTTGCAGACCCAGGACTCTGGGCTTAGGATTTGATTGTAAGGCAGAGAAAAGATAGCAAAACCAAACAAGGAACCAGATTTGGGGAAAAACATCAGCAGGTGGTTGGCTGTGCTGATGTGAACCCTGAGTATGTTAAATGAGCTCATTTTAATAAAATTGTGTCTATCCATCTCTCTTCAAGTAAAATTAAGTGTGTTAGTTCATGCCAAGTGCTTATAACATGCTCTCCATCTACCTACTTAGATAAACGTGAACAGAGATGGAGAAATGCCCACCTGTACCGACAGGCTGCTGCTAAGTGGTAGGATTTATAATGATTTGGTTTTCTTCTCTTCTTTGCATTTTTCTGTAATCCTTGAATTATTTACAATGAACACACTTAATTTGTAAAAAAAAAAAAAAAAAAAAAGGTTTAAATGGTAGACAGGCTCTGACATCAGACCTCCTGGTTTAAACCCTTAACTCCACTGTTGAGTAGCTGTGTTACTTTAAGCAAATTATTTCCGTTTTCTGAGTTTGTGTATGCTCATATAAATTGGGATAAAAATGTTACCTGCTTTGTTGAGAATTTAGTGCAATAATCTAGATGCAGAGCTGGGCATGGCACGTGGCAGAGAGCTAGGGTGAGTAACAGATGGCTTTTCTTCTTAGCAGCCAAAGTGCTGGTGCTGAGCTTTCCCCACTGCAGCCCAGGATATCTTCTGCTCACCTCGGTGTCCTTGGCATGCAGCAGTCACTCTGGAAACAGTGCACAGGGGTTGTTGGTGGTGGTAGTGGTGGTGGTGCTTAGGGTCAAATCCAGGATCTTTCACTCGTGAGGCACATGCTCTGCCACTGTCCTGCACTGGGGAGTTTAAAACTGGAGCCACCTAAGGCACCTTCCATCAGGTAGTGGTCTGAGAACATTCTTTGTTAAGGAGGAAAAGAGTGGAAAAGTCCTCAAGGTCAACTTGCTGGCAGTTGGGAAGGACATGTTACACACATGGTATTTTCCAAGCTATTGAGGCTTTCATTGGAAGAGAAGCCATGAAAAGGTCCACCCGCTGTGTCCTTAATTCTTCATGTGGTAGCCAGTCCAAAGTCAGGGCTGTTGCTTTCCATGGTCTATGCTAGTTATTTGTTTGATTTTTTGAGTCAGGGTCTTACTCTGTTACCTGTACTGTCTCAAACTTGTGGGCTCAAGCAATCCTCTTGGCTCAGCCTTCAGTGTAGCTGGAACTACAGGCAGGTACTGCAGGGCCCAGCCAAATATTTTTCCTTAACTATTTATTTGTTTTGTGATGCTGGGGCTTTCATGCTAGGCAAGTGCTCCACCACTGAGCTCCACACAACCCCCATTCCTCCTCTGCTGTTTTTTGTGAACTGTAAGCAAGTCAGTCCCACTGGAGTGTCCACTCTACGTTGAACATCCTGCATCTGAAATGCCTGGAACATTTCAGAGTGTTTTGGATTTCAGATTTTGGAATATTTTCATACACATAATGAGGTATCTTGGAGAAGGGACCCAAGTCTTAACACAAAATTCATGAATGCTTCACCGATACCTTATATAAACTGAATTTTATACAATATTTTTAGTACACCTGTGTTTGAACTGCAATCTGTCACATGAGATGTGGTATGGAATTTTCCACTGTGGCATCAGAAAGTTTCTGATCTTGGAGCGGTTTGGATTTTGAATTTTTGAATTAGTGATGCTCAATCTGTGATTTGAAACCTTAAGTAAATGACTATGGGAAATCTGCAGATATTGACCCATTGACCGTGTGAGTGTGTTGATGTGCTGGGGGTGACATTCTCTGTTATGTCTAAAATCAGTCCTTCTGAGGACTGTTTCCTTTTCTTTTCTTTTTAAAATCAGAGTCTCACTATATAGTTTGAGGCTGGCCTCAAACTCAAGATCCTCATGCCTCAGGCTCCCAAGTGCTGGGATTTCAAGCATGCACTGTCATGCCCAGCCTTCCCCACATTTTCTAAATGTTTTATAATAAACATGTATGTCTTTTAAAATAGAAAAAAAAATTTAAGTTCTATTCTTGGGGTTAGGGTGTGGCTTGATGGTAAAGCCTTTGCCTAGCATTCATAATGCCCTGGGTTTGATCCTCAGCACTGAAAGCAATCCTATTTTTTGTCACCATGGTCCCAGGAACTCTGCATACTTGGCACTTTTCTTGTGCTTCCTCCTTTAATCCCTATAGAACGTAGAGTCTGGTTATGTTGGGGAGCTTGACACTCCTATTGAGACTCTTGAGCCTCAAGCCACCCGTATTTCCATACAGCACACTAGTAAGACTGTTTTTTTAAAAAAATCCATTAATTCAGGGCTGGCTCCATGGCTTAAGTGGTAGAGTGCTTGTGTAACAAATGTGAGACCCTGAGCTCAATCCCCAGTGCCACCAAAAAAAAAAATCCATTAACTGGATAAGTAATTCCAAAGCACCTACTATATGCCAAGGACTGTTGTAGGTGTTTGCTAAGTCTGGAAATCCTACACGGTGGGGCTATCACCACAGAAAAACGTGGGGATGAAGGAAGTGGGGAACAGCCATAGGTACAGCTCCAGTGACTACAAAAGTGACTGGATGTCAGCTACAGTGTCTCTGACCCGAATGTGATGGTGACCTGTGAGCATAAAGGTGAAAAATACTAACTGAGCAATAACAAGTACACTAACTGTATACCTGGTAGAATCCTCTTAATATTGGCTTGACTGTGGCAGTGAAAGCAGCTGAGTGACAATGACAGTGAAAACAATCGAAAGGCGGACAGCTGGGCACAAAGAGTGCTATACTTAACAGAATCGTTTGAAGTTTATGGTCTCTGGCAATAGTGGCATGTCCAACGGTGACAGTATGATAGGCCAGGTGACAGCAACAATGCGAGTGACAGCAATGCCAGTATTGAATTTGTGATTAAAAACGGTGATGCAGTGAGTCAGCCTGACAGTGACAGCTCTCGGAATACTGACATTGTTGATGTATTGGCCCTTTACCCCAGAGGGAGCCCGGGATTGTACTGAGATAGGGTTCTGGCGTCTGACTGGCGGTGACAGCAAAAGGCTGCCTGTGTTCACCGGCCCAGCGCCTATGGGACTTACTTTGTCTGATCTCACTTAAATCCGATGTATGAGGGTGATTTCAACGAAGAGCGCGCACAGTGTAACTAAGTCATCGAGGCTGAAAATGAGCAAAAGAAAATGCCAACAACTCTCGCTCCGGTCTCTAAATCCTAAACCACAATGCCTTCGGGCCACCATGATTAGTTGACACCCGGACTGTTAGCCTATCGCGTCCCGGCGGTGTAAGCTTCTTTACCAATGAGAGCGCGTCTTAGGGCAAATCCCCGCCTCTCACGTGAATGTGTTGTTTTGGAAAAATTAAAAGAAACATTTTGGGACTACTTCGCTGCCATTCTTCGAAACAAGCCCCTAACCCTTGAGCTGCTTCAGCACAGGGTGGCGGAACTCCAGAGGGAGGTGGGACCAAGGTCAGGGGTCAAGGACAGGCTAGCCATCCATTTGGCCCGGCGTCCCAGCCTTGCGGGAGAACCGGAATCTAACGCAGGCCACGCCCCCTCGCGAGACCACTCCCCCAGCACGTGACTGTGGCGCGCGGACTTCCGGGCCTCCGCCCTCGGTTCGTACGCCTTCCGCGCCGGCCTCAAGATGGCCGCCTTCTGGCGTCTCCGGCGCTGTTGAATGGTGAAAGCTTTATTGTTCCCTTCGGGCAGGAGTGTTCGTGTCCTCTATGACGCTGTCAATAAAGAACGGCAGTTTGAATCGGTGCTGAGCAGGTAACCATAGAAACGGGGCCGGGACTCTGCGTGGAGACCCCCTTTTGCAGATGAGGCCCGAGGGGCGTCCTAGATGCGTGGCGAGCTCCGCGGGGTTGGCCACTGCCTTCGCCTCGGGATGTGGGCCTCCTAGGGCGGCCCACGCCTGGGGTGCAGGCTCGGGCAGGAGAGGCCGCGGGGACCCGGCCTGGTTCCCCCGGGGCTGGACCAGAGGCCAGGTCTCGCTCCCTTACCCTCACGTCCCTACGCCGGTGTCGGCCAGCTACGCCCGCGGGCCAAACCCGCCCCTCCTCATCCCCCGGCCCTCTTGTTTTGTGTGCTGGGAGCTAAGAGTGGCTGTTAGGTTTTGAAATGGTTAGAGGCAGGGTGGTAAATCCTGAAGTCAAACTTGAGTGGCCCTGAGTGAAGGTGCACTGGGACTCGGCCATGTTCTTTGTTTATGTCTTGTCCGGCTGCAGGCTTGAGTAGCTGTGTGGTGGCTGCTGCATGCCTTGATGGCAAGGCCCCCAAAGCCAGAAACATGTTTTTCTAGCCCTTTACAGAAAAAGCGTGTCCACACCTGCTCTAGACCCGAGTAGACTGGGTCACTGTTGTCCCTCAGCGATTCCGCAAAGAGTGGAAAACTTAATCCTCTTGGTCTTAACCATTGCTCAAAGAAGAAGTTGGTTCTACGTTGTTGTTTTTTGTTGTTGTTTTGTTTTGTTTTGTTTTTGAGGCCGTGGGGTTTGAAGTCAGGGCCAGGCGCTCGCTAGGCACCACCACTTGAACCAGCCCCTCCCGCCCCTAACCCTGTCTCTCCAACTTTGTGTTCCTACTTTTTTTTTTTTTTTTGTATTCCAACTTTGTAAATCTGATGTTTCAGTTTTACGAGAGAGGAAGTGAAGAGGGATTAAATTATGTAAGGGTATACTAGATTACAGATTAGCAAATTGAGCCCATGCTTGAGAAACCCCTGCTTGGTGGCGTGCATCAAATTGCTTCAGAGTTTATTCATTCAAGTTTTCACCATCTGGGAGCATTCGTTCTTTCCCTGACATTGTATCCAGATCTTGGTATGCCTTATAGAGGTTTCGTTACAGAGGTTTGACAGTGTCAAAGTGAAAATTTTCTGTCCTTGGCTTAAATCATGAAACTTTGCCCGCACCCCCTTCCTAATGTAGTAATTCTCACAGGTAGCTTCTTCACTGACTTAACAAATGATGTAAAACACCTGTGCTTACATGAATGCGTTCATTTGATATTAAATGAACACCCACTATGTGCCAGGAATGATTTAAATTCCTGGAAACATAGTGGTGTACAAGACAATGTGATTTCTGCCCTTTTTCGGAGTTTAAATTCTTCAGGGGGGTTGGACAGATGATGTAAAGGTACACAAAGATAAATTTTTTTTTTTTCTTTTTGAGACAGGCTCTTGCCATGTAACCCAGGCTGGCCTTAAACTTGAGATCCTCCTGCCTCAACCTCCTGAGTACTGGGATTACAGATTGGTGCAGCCATGCCTAGCTCACAAAGATAATTTCAAACACAGGTGTCATGGTGTCATAGTATCATAACAATAAAATTGGTAATTTGAATTTGTTGTGGAATTCATTTGTGACAGGTACTGGTGTTAAGTGCTTTCCGTGGACTATCAGTCCTCACACCAACAATATGACATGGATAGTATTACTATTACCGTTTTACAAAGAAGGAAACAGGCTCACAAAAGACTGATGTCCAAGATTACACAGTTTATGCATAAGGGAGCTGGGAGCTGAGGCTAAATGGATCACAACGTGCTGTATTATTCCATGTGTTGTCTTTCCTGCTAGCGGGAAGTCCTCAAGAGCAAAAACCACACCTTAATTTTTGTGTCCTCAGCTGCTGTGTACTTCACTGCTGTGGTAGGTTCTTTGATTACCAGGTGATTAGGAGGGCCCTGAGGCTCTGTGTTGTGGATGCTAAAACCTACTGTCAAGAGAGTTAAAAAATAATAGCTACTCAAAATTGTGGCAGCTGCTTTAAGGGAAACAAATCACTCAGCTGAGACAGACAGCTGAGTGGTCAGGGAAGACTCATCTTGAGAGGTATTTTAATTTGAAATGTGTCAAGTAACAAGGAGTCAGTCCAGCAGGAAGGGAAAAGGGAGAGAAGCCAGGAGGAGGCACTTTTCAGGAGGCTCAGAAACCATAAGGTGGGCAGGAACTTGGGGCACCAGAGGAGAAAGGAGCCAGAAGTTGTCCTGTGGTTAACAGTGCTGTGCCCAGTGCATGGCCCTGAACCAGCTTCACTATTGGTAGACCTGCTCAGTACAGTGTGGAATAGCACTTCTTGAAAGATTTGTGTTGCCCTTCAATTAAGATAAAATGCATTAATAGTTGAACTGGTGCACTGAAGCTGCCTTCCCACCTCAGCCTTGGGAGTACTGGGACTACAGGCATGACTGTGTGTACACATATTAGTACACATATTGCTGAATTCCAACTTGGAAGCTAACTACATGTGACCCCCATGCAAACTATATTTAAAGTATTAACAGAAATCTAGACGTGTGTTACAGACAAAATTGGGGATGGCATGGGTGGGTGTTTTTTCTATCTTTAGGGAGAGGGGAACAGATTTTTCTTAGTGTTTAGAGCACAACTTTTCCAACTGGAATTTAGTTTTTAAATCAAATTATACAATTGTCTCTATAGAGCATTTTCCAGCATTTTAGTGTTTTAAGCTTGAAATGGTTTGTGTTCCTCCATCAAAGGTATTTACATTTTGGTAGGAAGGGTCCTGGGGATGGAACCCAGGGTCTATAGCATGCAAAGCACGCTCTACCTCTGACTTACACTCTCAGTACCCGTGTCTGCATTTTCTTAAGGCATTCTAAGAAAATGTTGGGCCCCTAGTTAGTAGTAATTTCATGTGTTTGTGGATGATTTTGGATTTCCTCCAAAGTTTTCAAGATAACATTGCATACTTTAACAGAGTGCTGAGTGCTTTGAAAAAAGGCTTTTTGAATAGGTAAAACATCAGGTGATGTTTGGTCTGATGAGCATAAATTAGAGGCAGGGATAAATAAGGGAACGATATAGGAGCAGCAATGTCGTTTTCCTTTCAACTGTATCCAAAAACCATATTGCACATGTCATCAGAAGATACAACCCAGTCCAGCAAATGGAGCAGGGAACTGGACAAAGAGTGGCATGTTAATGCAGTGTTAAACAACAGCCTCGAATTAAATTGCTATTTTAGGTTGGGGTGGGACCTTCACATCTGAGTATTGTAGTTTTACTCTGTGATTTGGGTCTGTTGGGTTCCAGTAAAGAGTAGGTGGAAATGGTAGCTTTGAAGGATAATATGAAACTGCGGGAAGAGCCAGGGCATACCAATTTGTTTTTCAATCTATTTTATTTCAGTTCAAAGCATCAGTGCAGACAGCAGCCCAGAAAAACAAGCCGCACTTTGGCAATACTCAACTGCTTTTGGAGATTGAGGAAAACTGAGTGTAACCAAAGTGTGGATTGTTTTCTTGGACTGTGTCTGCAATGAGGCTTTGAACCAAAATAAAATAAATTGAAAAACAAATTGGTATGCCCTGTTGCCTCATACTGAGTATTTACATTACCCTTCCAGAGTACTGGCTGTGCTGGCACCCTGGGGGAAGGTGCTGACCCCTCAGCCTCTTTTAACTCTTCCACAGAGTGAGCTCTTTGATTTTCACAAGGAAATTGAATCTGGGTATTTGGTTTTCTGGATCTCCAATAGGTTGCCTTCTAAAGGCATCATCTTGATAATGTGGAGAAGCAAGCTACTAACCACACAGATGAGAGAATTAAATATTAAGGGCATTTAAATTCAGCAATGAGGTCAATTTGTGTGAACAAAGGGTACAGAATTTCATTTGCAAAGAGCATGCAGTTATGAGACTCTGACAGCCCTCACAAGGGAAAAGCAAGGAAAGAAAGTCGGCCTTCCTTGCATTTCTCTAGTATTACTTCATTCCAAGTGCTCAGGATTGTGATGCCAAGCATTTCATTTCCTTACATAAAGTAAATACCACACAGCTGAAGCACATAAACCAGGTATTGTAATCTTGGGTAAATTGTTGAATTGCAAGGGGCCCATGAATCCTTTGAAGATGCCTGCACATTTGTGTGAATGTCATTCTTCTTGGAAGAGAGCCTATCACTTTAATCATATCTCAGAGGGGTCCTTGGCCCCCTCAAAAGGTGCAGAGCCAACTTCACAGCTAACACCACCAAGCTAAGGTCATGAAACCAGTTATTTTCCACTGCTCTGTTGCCCTGACTTCAAAGTTTTGAGAGAGTCTTTTCAGGCTTTGTTTCCTGTCTAAAGTGGTCAAGCATAATTGAACATTTGCATAATACAGATGCCTACTCAGTGATGTGCTGCAGAAATGCCTTACAGAGATGATTGTCCTCACTCTACACAAGTCTGGTAAGATGTGCACGTGTTGTCTCAGCAACCTTGTTAGCAGATGCCATGTTTGTTCCTTCTTTTTAAAAATTTTGATGTATGTATTTTTGGTGTGAGGGATCAAACCTAGGGCCTTACACAGACTAAGCACCTGCTGCACCTGCTGTACCTGCATTGAGCTATATCTCCTCCACATAATGTTTTTAGTTTTTAAATTGACAAGTAGCAGTGTGTGAATTTTTAAATATGTACAGCATGATGTTTTGAATATGTATACATTGTGGAATGGTAAAACTTAATCAAATATTTAAAAAGAAGATGAAAAGCTAGTGTTTGTTTTATAGGCATCAACTTCTTGGAGATGGAGTCATTTCCTCAGATTTAGCAGTTTTGTTAAAAGGGAAAGAAGAAGGAGGAGACATATTTGAGGAAGAATAAAGAAAGATAGGATGTCTCCCATGTGTTTTCCAGAAGAGTCCTCTATGTGTGTAAAAGTCATGAGCTTCTATTTTGAGGCAATCTTACCTCAGAACCTAACTAATACTAGAACCTCTGAAAAAGTCAGTTTACAAATGTAATTCTGTGCCAGTCTGGAATGGGATAAAGCAATGCAGCGTGCTTTATGAAGGAAAAGGAGGCCCCAGAATGGGAGATTAGAAACAAAGAATTGTAAATGTAAGTAATAGCTTTTGAGGTTCTAAACATTGGTTATTTTAATAGGTTTATTTATTTATTTATTTATTTGGCAATACGGGGGGATTGATCCCAGGGCCTTCCACTTCTACATGCTAGGCAAGCACTCTACCATAAACTCTTAGTAATTCTCGTCATTGATCCGAAGTTTATTTTAGGTCTATGTACACAATCATGCTACCTATGAAAAATAAGTTTTGTCTCTACCTTTCCAGGAATCTTTTCCACCTTTTTTCTTTTTCTTACCTTATTGAACTGGCTATGGCTGCTACTACAGTGCAGGGCAGAAGAGGTAAGAGGAGAAATCCTTGCTTTGCTTCTAATTTCAGGAGTCATTTCCACCTTTTATTTCTTTTTTTAAAAAATAATTAATTATTTTTGGGCAGTACTGGCGTTTGGATTCAGTCTCGCACTTGCTAGGTAGGCACTCTACCACTTGAGCCACTCCTCCAGTCCTTAATAGTGTTTTTTGTTTGTTTGTGTGGTGATACAGGGGTTTGAACTCAAGGCCTCATGCTTGCTAGGCAGACAGTATACTGCTTGAGCTACTCTGCCAGCCCCTTTATAGTGTTTCGTGTTTTGCTTTAGGAAATGTAAAACAAAACAAAACAAAAAGAGCTGTATGGCTGTATGTGATCCTTTTCTGGCTTTGAGAAAATTTTGCAAAGTGTAACCTAATCCACTGGTTTTGTCTTTTTCTTGGACTTCTAAAACTTTGGCTTGACCTTGGGTCATCTTTCTTAACTGCTTTGGCTCCTTGTCTCAGTAGCTCCAGAAGACGGTGGGATCAGTGAACTTGCCATCTTTTGAATGCTCTTTGTTGGCACATATTTAGTTATGCTATAAGTCTGTTGATTTCTCCTCTCCTTTCTCTTCTTTGGTTAAAGCAACTATAATTACTTGTCCTGGATTACTGAAACAGCCTTCTACCATGTGACATCAGGTGGTTCATAGACACCCTCCAAAGTTCATCTTGTTGCATGGCCCCTCCAAAGTCCCTGTTGTTTCTCATTCTCAGCACTGCTGTGCATGCAGTTGGCAGTAAGTGCATACCTGTTGAATGGATGAACAGAGGAAGGTGAAAGTGGATGTCAGAGTGAGGGGCCTCTAAGACCTGTACTTGGAAAGGGCGGTCCTTGTCATGTACATATCATTAATTGATTAGTTCAAAGTAGTTCATTGTTCTTACCCATCCCAGAAATACCATGTTAGTAATTAAAATGATCATTTATTAAACACATGGCAAGTTCCAGGTGCCATACTAGGTGCTTTACACAATTATGTCATGTAATCCTCATAGCAACTAAGCAGTAGATACTATTACATTCCCCCCCCCCCCCGCCCTTTAAAATATTTTTGCTACTTTTGCAGGCTTGGGATGGAACCAGGGCCTCATGCATGCTAGGCAAGTTCTCTAACACTGAGCACCATCCTCCAGCCATACCCCAGCCCCTATTTTAAAAATTATTAAGAAAAATTTCAAACATATTAAACTGAGAAGAGCACAATGGGCTCCCATACACATTAACTCCTTTTTACACTTAGGAAAGTATAGTGATAACAGTAAAGTCAGGTTCAGACCCCAACTCTATGTAACCCCTTTACTCATATTGTTCTTAATTTTAAGTTCCAGTTGGCCTGTGAAAAGCAGAAGCAGGGGAGACAGTGGTGAGCCCTCTTCTCACTCCAGTCATATGTTGTCCCCCTCCCTTGCCTCGTTCACTCCCAAATGCTTCCTGGCTCCTGTTTGCATACAGCCAGCCCTCTGTCTCCCTGCTTCACTGCTTCTCTATGGGCTGTGCTTGCTCTCTCTCTGGTTTTTTTGGTGCCATCAGTATTAGCTGCTTTTCAAAGGACTGCTCCCATTTTGAATACCCAGCTCCTAGCATGATGTGGTGAACATAGCAGGAGCTAATATATTTAAAGTGAGTGACAGTGAACTTGCTGCCCGTTTAGCCTGTAGGTTTGGCATGGCACTATGACTTTTAGATGTTGGTCTGAAGGCCTGGCAGTCATTAAATTTGACCATCCTAGACACAAGCTGCTCATTCAGCTCTGTTGTCAGCCGCCCTCAGTTCTAGTCAGGTTAAAACCAGAGGGAGACTTTTGAAGGTCAAAGTCCAAGACAGTAGAATAATTGGCCCCTAGAGTTCTGGGTTTTTTTTTTCCTGGGCAGCAAAATGTTGAGGATGAAATTTTCCATGTCTTCCTTTGAACATTTTTGAGCAAATAATGATGGACTCCCACAGGCTGTTTCCCAGAGTTAAAGGCAGCAGAGAACTACCCTCTCTTTTGCTTTTTTTTTTTTTTTTTTGGTTGTTGTTAGCTCCTTAAGATAGTCCTTTTGTTATACTCCCTGGCAATTGATGAGGGAAAGCTAGAGATGAAAGCAATTCCTACTTGTTCAAAGACAGAGCAGGAAGCTTACAGGAGGAGGAGAGAAGGAAGCTGCTCTATGCAATATACATAGAGGAGACTGAGGCTGAGTGATCTGATTAGTACAGGAAGACGTGCTGCAAGAGGATGGGGTCTGCAGTCTTGGTGCTTCTGCTGCTTAACTACAAAGGTGTGAGAAAAGGTAGACTTCTGTGTGTTGCCAGCAACCCAAGAACAGAGTGTGCAGAGCATGTTCCCTACGTAGTGCCAGGCTGCAGGAAAGGGCATTTGGCTGAGCTCACAAAGACCTGCCGGATGCACAAGCACATTCTGTTCACTAGCAAGGCTGGGAAACTGGGCTGGGGGCATGGGTTCCCACAGCTCTTAACTCACTGTTCTCAGCTTCATGGTCTTGGAGAAGTGGGGATGGAGAAGTAGGTGCATGGTGCCTGTGTTAGTCAGCTTTCCATTACTGTAGCAAATGTCTGAGATAAATCAGTCTGTAAATAGAATATGGTTATTTTGGCTTACAGTTTCAGCGCTTTCAGCCATGATTGACCCTCTTGCTTTTGGGCCTGTGGGGAGGCAGCACATCATGGCCAGGAGCATTGGAGGAGCAAAATCAGTCACCTCATGATGGGGAGTGAGAAAGCACACACCCCTGGTCACCAGATCGCCTCCCACTAGGCCTCACCTCTTAGTTTCCACCCCCTCCCATGGGTCCATTGTGAGGAACAAGCCTTCAACACGTTGGCCTTTGGGGGCATTTGAGGATCCAAACTATAGCAGTACTTCAGATAGCAAAGGCTATCTTCCTTTCCCTTCTTCCCTCCTTCTCCTTTCTTTCCAGTGCTGTGAATTGAACCCAGGGCCTTGTGTGTGCTGAGCAAGCACTCTACCACTGAGCTACATCCCCCCACCCCAGTGCTGTGCTCTTAAAACCACTTTGCTGACTATGTATCTTTACTTTGCCTCTGACCAGAGAAAATTAAAATTATCCAGAATTTTAGTAGAGGAAAGACTGTAGTATTAAGAGCTTTACTGTATTTAAAATTGTCAGGCTTGGTCAATATGATTTAGTGGTAAAAGCTCTAGCTCTGGAGTCAGATAGTGTGAGTCTATTCATTCACTCTGCCACTCACTGACTTTGTGATTTGGGCAAGTCGTTTCCTCTCTCTAGGCTTCTACTTCCTTAGTGGAAGTTGGGACTGATAATAGTAACTATTTCACTGGTTTTGCAAATATTCTATGAGGCCACCCATGTAAACATCATGCCTAGGATGTAATAAATGCTAGATAAATAATTGCTACTATTGTTAGGTCCACGCTGGAACCCCCCAAATTGTGTTGTCTTTTCCTTTCCAGATTATCTTCTTCATTGCTTCCTACTCAGAACATACAGTTGGCATCTGTGGGTTGCTTATCTGTGGATTCAGCCAACCTTGAATTGAATATATTTGGAAAAAAAATTGCACCTTACTGAACAGGTAGAGACTTTTCCCTTGTCATTATTTTCTGAACATTACAGTATAATTGCTTTTATATTGCATTTGCCTTGTATTCGGTGTTTTAAGTAATCTAGAGATGATGTAAAGTATTTGTAAGGATACACTTAGGTTTTATACAAGTTCTTCACTGTGTTACATGAGACTTGTGTATCTGAAGACTTTGGTATCCACAGGGGTCCTGAAACCAATCTTATGTGGATGCTGAGATTAGTTGTTATGAATTTAATAAGTAAGGGACTTACTTGGTGGCAGAGCACATACACTCTGGGTTCAGTCCCTAGAAAGAATTAAGTAAATATTATAAATAAATAAATGTATCTATCTCAGGTTTCTGGTATTTCAGGGTGTTCCTGGAACCAAACAGATAACAATTTATCTAAGATTTAGGAAACAGGAAAGCCTGTTTTCTGTCATTAGTGAACTAAAAGATCTTGAAACACTTTTCCTTATCTAAGAAATCTAGAAATTGGACCAAGTATTTTAGAATTTCTTTGTGTCTCCTAATTTTCAGTGTATGAAAGGTTTTGTATGAAATCTCTCAGATTATAGCCCAGTGTTATGAGAGGCCTCATTCCCTCTACTTTCTCTCTCTTTCTTAGCTGATTTTTCAGCCAATACCAGCCATATGAAGCTAGCAGTGTGATTGTCTATGAAGTCTTCGCTTTTAAAGCCAATTATGTAACATTTGACATATATAAAGATACATATATAACTTAAAAGTGATGAAATGGAGTGAAAGAAGAATTTTGGCAGGTCTTTTGTTTGTTTTCTTGTTTTTGTTTTGGTTTGTTGAGGCAAGGTCTTGCAGTGTAGCGCAAGACTTTGAGTTTGTTCCATAGTCCAGGCTGGCCTGGAACACACGATCCTCCTACCTCAGCCTAGTGCTGAGGCTTACAGACGTGTGCCAGCACATCCAGCTTTGGATCTTTAAAATACTATAGGAACCATTCTTTATGTATATTGACTCACAATATTAAGAGTAGCTTATTATTTCTTAAAACTACCTCATATGATAAATGTTAATATTATTCCTGTTTTACATATCAGGAAACTGAGGCCCATCAAATTAAGCAGCTTGCCTTGAGTATACAGCTAGTAAGTGAGGCCAAGCTGAGATCCACACTTGGGGCTGTCTGTCTCCAACCTTTGCTGTTGAGCACACAGCCTCTGGCTCACAGAGCCTGGTGTGATGGCCTTTCATTGCCAGGACCTATTTTTACATTAGATGCAGAGCTTTGAATTTGGGATTTGGTACTATGGATTGTGTGCAGGCCAGATTTTTCCCTACTGAAGAAAAATGTGTTCTGATAATCAAGTTAGGAAAACTCGGAAGTCATCCACATTTTCAGGTCAGCGCAGAAGGCCTGTATCAGCACCAGTGGCAAAGCCAGAGGTCTTTTGTACACCTAAGATACTGGATTTGAAAGCATTGAAGTGGTGATTGCTTGTCAAGACTCTTGACTGCAGGGTGAAAAGTTGGCATTAAGGATAACACAGTCACAATCCCTCACCACTCATTAGACCAGAGTGTTGCTCAAGGGATTTTGCAGTTGAATCTATGGAGAGCAGTCTTGGTGAACTGCTGGATCAGAGCAACGTGTCCAGAAGGCACCTGAATCTTGCAGCGCCTCCTTCTTTTGTAATGGCCTGGAAAAATCGCTTGTTTCTGTGAACTAGTCAGAAGATAAGAGGACATAAGCAGTTTGTTATGCTATTTGGGTATTTTTCCCCTTCTTGTATTTTGTAGAATGCCTTAAAAGGAGAGTTTATTAAAAATTGAGAGACTCTTGAAAATTAGGTGACTAGAGTGGTTGGTACAGGCTCATCAAGAATTAGTTGCTCACTACCAGTTGGAGATTTGGAAATGAGCCTTCCCAGTGGTCTTTAGTCTTCCCTGCATCTCTGCCTTCTTGAGAGTCTGGTTGTGAGGTGTCGATGTTGATGATGGTGACTAATGGCTTTTCATTTACTTCCTGTGTGCCTGACGTGAGTTCCTGTATTCATTTGATCTTCCAGCAACCAAGTAAGAGCGGTATCAAGACTACTCCTATTTTGTAGATGAGGAAACTGAGCCTCATTATAGGTTAGATAGTTTCCCCAAGGTCATAACAGTTTGTAATTACACATTCAGGATTCACCCATGTAGTCTGATTTCAACTTCAGCCTTTAGCCACAAGACCACACTGCTGCTAGTGAAAGCTTGGGCCCCCTCTCCACAGAAATTGTGCAGTTGTATAGCACTGCATATAAACTAAAGAGCACGCAGATTCCTTGTCCTCTACCTAGTGTGTACACTGAGGTTTGAATGCCCCCCCCCATTACACTTCTAATTCCTCTCTTGTAAAGAGTGTGTATTTTACTGTGCTTGGTACATAGTAGCAGCTTAAATGTTTAGCAAGTGAACTTGTGATAGAAATGACTCTAGTTTTGAAGCCAGACAGATCTACCTAGGTTTCTATTCTTAAGTTTTCCCGTTGCAAAAATTGCGCATGTTCCAGCTGGGAGTATAACTCAGTGGTAGAGTTCTTGCCTATCATGCACAAAACCCTGAGTTCAGCCCCCAGCACTGCAAAAACAAAACAAAACATAAACAAAATAGTGCATGTTTATTACAGGAAAATTTGAAACGTGAAGAAGAAAATAAGTCCACCATAACAACAATATCTAGGGATAACCTCTGCTAGCATTGAGATACTTTTATGCAAATGTGTGTGGGCATACACACACATTTTTACATTTGATTTATGTATATATGTAGCCGCCTGTTGGTTGTTTTCCTTTTAGTATATTGACAGCGTTTTCCCCAAATTATTAAAAAAATCTTCAAATGGCTAATTTTTTTTTTTCATTCCTGGTAGTTTCTTTCCTTTTTTGGGCAGTACTAGGGTTTGAACTCAGGGCTCTTTGCTTGTTAGGCAGGTGCTTTATTGCTTGAGTCATGCCTCCAGCCCTTTCTTTTTTTCTTAAGCCCAAAACCCGAGAATTTTTTTCCAAAAATTATACAATTCACATACTATATAGTTTACTATTTTAAAGTATACAGTTAAATGACTGTAACCATCACTTCTTTCTAATTCCACAATTCCAGAACATTTTTATCACTCAAAAAAAAAGCCTGCATCTATTAGCAGGATATTTCCTCCTATATCTGTTTTCTCCTGTGGTAACGACTAATCCACTTTCCATCTCCATGGGTTTGCCTGTCTTGGACATTTCATAGAAATGGGCTCGTAGCATGTGGCCGTTTGTGTGTGTTGGTTTTCACGGACTGGTGTGTTTTGAAAGCCATCCTGTTGTGGCATGTGTAAGTGCTTACTCCTTTTAACGGCTGAGCATTATTCTACATGGATATGCATTTTTGTGCATTTATCATTTGATGGGTGTTTAGGTTGTTTCTACTTTTTGTTATGTTCAATGCCCTAGTGAGCATACTGCACGAGATTTTGTGTAGATGCACGTTTTCATTTCGAGGACTAGTATACTAAGACTGAAATTACTGGGTCATATGGGATCTGTCCTTTTATTTGTCTGGGGGGGGAGGGGTTACTGGGTTTTTGAGCTCAGGGTGTCATACTAGCTAGGTAAGTACTTTACCACTTGAGCCAGGCTTCTATGCCTTTTTACTTCAGTTATGTTTTGAATGGGGTCTCATGGCTTTGTCTGGGGCGGGCTTAGCCTGGACCTCAGTCCTCCTATTTATCCCTCCTGGGATGCCAGGCACATAACCACCATGCCCAGTTTATTTGTTGAGATGCCATGATCCTCCTGATCTCTATCTCCCAAGTAGCTGGGATTGCAGGCATGAACCACCAGTGCCTGGTTTTTGGTTTTTTTTCTTTTATCTTTTGGTATTTTGAAATAGGGTTTCACTATATAGCCTAGGCTGGCCTCAAACTCGCCATCCTTCTACCTCTGCCTCTAAGTGCTGGGATTACAGGTGGGTACCACCACAACCAGTTCTACAAATCTCATTTTTAATGACTGAGCACCCATAATTCTGTATGGCTGTAAATCACTTAAAAATTTCTTATATTCTAAGTTTTCAGGGTGTTTTTTGTTTGTTTTTTGGCAGTACTGGGGTTTGAACTCAGGGCTTCATGCTCACTAGGCAGACTCTCTGCCGCTTGAGTCACTCCTCCAGCCCTTCAGGGTTTTTGCAATACCATTAATACTTTTGTTCTGAATGCAGCGTAAGTATGCTACTACATCTCTGTATCAATAAAGTCTTAGAATGGGTCTGAAGGATGTAAACATTAAAATATTTTTATTGTCATGGGTTTCCTATTTTTATCCAATGATAATTATATAACTGATATGTAAATTTATTCTGGTTAAATAGTCACACGGTACAAGTAAAAACATATTCCTTCCTATACTCCACATTCTCATGTCTCTTCAAGCACATTTCTCTAGTTCAAGATGAGCAGACAGTGTCCAGACTATTCATCAGTTTATACTTCCGTGAGAATTATGTCCCAATGGTGTTGCTCATTCTGAATTATTAATGCAAGTAGGGGTTTTAATAATAGCACCTAACACTTTAGCATTTACTATGGACAGTCACTTTGCTAAAGCAGTTCAGATGCATTATCTTATTTCATCTTCACATCAAAACTGTTAATGATGCCGAAGTTCAGTGATTGCAGTGATTTGTCCAGGTCCCTGAATAAGCATTCAGGTTAGTCTGCTAGATGAGGAGTCCATGATCAAAAAACACTGCTTTTCAGTGAAATACTATCATGAAAAACCTTGCAGATTGAATTGCTCCAAATTGTGTAAATTTGCATTTCTTTAATTATTCATGAAGACCAACTTTTTTCTTTTATCATCTTGTTAACTTCTATTTCTTTTGTGAATTATCTGGTTTTTCTTTGTCCATTAAAAAAAATTTAAATGTCAGTGCTTTCCTTATTGATTTTTATAATCATTTTAATAGAAAGACCTCCATTGAACTTCAGTTTTCATTAGTATATTACCTT